GAATAAAATTTAAATTCTGGAGGTTCATTATTATGATATAGTTATAGAATTGACTATTGGAATGGGACATCAATTTTTTAGTTTATGTAGATAATATTGAAAAGCATAATTAATATTATTATAACTAAACAAGTGGATCTAACTATTGCGGAAGCACTATCAATGATGATACTTATTATCTAGATTTAAATGCTTATCATTAAAGCCCAACTGCCTCAATATTAATAAAAGGTTACGCTTTTTGGGGAATTTCAGAATTTTAATTATTTATAGAATAATGTCCTGATGGTTGTGATTCTTGTGACTAGAACGGATGCTTTAATTAAATTTTATATGTTCAATATTTTACTGCTAAATCCTTCACCAATGTTGACTTTAATGAAGGATGGTTATCTTCTAATTCTTTCATGTATAATTATATTATTAATAGAGGAGGTATTTTAACAATTTATACTAGATTTTTCTTTTCATAATGTGGTAACATAGACTTGTACTAAAACAATAGATCTAGCGGATCATAATGCTGTTAGTGCATCATTAAAGTTAATAACAGTAAATTTAATTCACTAGTTCAACATACTTATTGATGATAAGTTAGTAGTTGTTTCAAATCTTAATCTGTAAGTATCAATCTATAATAATAATGACTATTATTATTTAATCACAAATTCGATTTATATCCATTAATATCCGCATAAACGTAATTCAATTACTTTCAAAATTTAGACTAAATAATTTTAAGAATACACTTCATCTTACTATTCTTATGTTGGAATTAGAGATTTTTAATTATTTATAAGACCAATTTTAAATGACGATTATTGCTATGATAATAATATCTATCCCTTTGATGGATGCTTTGCTGAGATACATGATTGTGTTGAAGGTTGTTCAAACTGTGTAAGAGGTGTGTGTTTGGAATGTTAAGAAGGATGGCAGTATTATGAATTAAATAAGAATTGTTTACCGATATGCGGAGATTCTATCATAACTTATTTTGAAGAATGTGATGACGGTAACACATATCCATATGATGGGTGCCATTAATGTAAACACTCCTGTTAGTAAGATTGTATAATCTGTTAATTTGGATATTGTTTGAAATGGAAAACTTCATACTAAAATCTTGATGATATTTCTTATAATAATAATTTTAATTAAAACTTACCAATTACATAAAACGATCTGAATTATATTTAGTGTTAATATTTGTATGATTCATTAGAATGCCATGAATATGTAAATGAGTTGGCGTGGTTATTTTTTAATTGTAATTCCTAGTATAAGATGAATGAAAAGAAAAAAATAATAAATAAAAAGAAATGTGGAGATTTAATTACCACATGTGATGAGGAGTGTGATGATGGCAATAAAGTATAGCATGATGGTTGTCACATGTGTAAATATTCATGTCCACTGAATTGCAGTGAATGCTAATTTGGAAAATGTAAATAATGTTTACCAGAGTACGAACTAATATATGGATAATGTAAATATATTTGTGATGGTTCTGAGAGTTAGGAAGACTAAGAAAATATAAGTTGTTATAATAGAATAACAAATTTGATTGAGAATGGTCATTACTAACATAATCTCTTTAATAACAAAAATTCTAAATATAATTTGATAAGTACTCTTACATGCAACATTTAAGATTTTGGAATCTTTGGATATTTTTATAATTAATGCAGAATAGCGGCTATAAAAAATTGTAAAGAAAGTCTTTATGATAAATGCCTATAATGTGATGAAAATTATGCATTAGAATTTAATAAATTTGGATGTATTCCTTTATGTAACGATGGACTTTTAATAGAAAAAGAAGTGTGTGATGACTAGAACAATATCTAATTTGATGGATGCTACAAATGCTAAGAAAGTTGCTTGTTAGAATGTGTAAATTGTGTTGAAAATAAATGTTATTAGTGCCTTGATGGTTGGCAGCTTATAGATTATGGCTGCTATTAATATTGTGGAGATGGTTAAGTAGCTCAATCTTCTATGGAACAATGTGATGATGGAAATTATGATTCTGGAGATGGATGTTATTAATGTAAATTTGAGTGTGTCCCTTATTGCAGATCCTGTGCTGATAGAAATACTTGTTTGGTTTGTGAAAAATACTTTGAATTATCTAACAATTCTTGTAGACCAATATGTGGAGACGATAATATTGTATATGGATTAGAAGAATGTGAAGATGGAAACAATATTCCTTATGATGGTTGCTTTAATTGCATGTTTTAGTGTGAAAAAGAATGCCAAAATTGTGGTTAAGGAAAATGTGTAGAGTGCATAGATGGGTACATAATTGCAAAGGATTATTGCGAAGTTAATAATTAAACATTAATCATCGATGAGGATGAAGATGAATAAAGTTAATGTGCTAATGCAATGTATTCTAATAATGAAGAATGTGATGATGGGAATACAATTGATGGCGATGGTTGTTCTAGCTTATGTCAGATTGAATCTAATTGGTTTTGTACTAACTAACTCAATTAGATTAGTATTTGCACTCATAATACTATTATAAAATTGTAATACCTTAATCAAACTTAATAAAATTAATACGTTTAATTATCCTTAACAAATAAAGTAAAATTAAAT